TATTGATTACTTACTCAACCCAGTCGAAAGGTATCGACATCTGTTAGAATCATTTGGAGTTAACAGATAATTGTGACTGTCAAATAATAACAGACAAATAATTAGCAATAAATTAAAATTGCGACTATAATTTGAGATTTAAACTATCTTATCTCTCAAGTTGGATCGAACTGCACATGGTGTGCGAATTTTATTATAATCGGTTAAGTGCTTTAGGAGTCCATTGAGGACATACATTGTGACACGAGATTTATATATATTAAGATTAGGTACTTTATAAATTATGCGCTGTAGAAGTCTTGCAATCTAGATTTTATAACATAAAAATGATCTTACAAAAGCGAAGCTGAGCTCAGAAGCAGCAGTGTTTTACTAAAAATAATTTATGCTTAGATTAAATTTGAATACATGAATAATTTAAAGCACTATGAAACTAAACTAGGGAAAATAGCAACTTATTAATGTCTTGCACTCGAACTAAACATATTTACCGCTTTCTTGTGTTTTAACGCTAAAAAGCGAATTATATTACAAAATGATCTCAATAATAAAAACTAAACTAAATAATATCATTAAAATTAAAATTCACAGCGCTGTACTTTTAAACAATACAATTCACAGTGCAATGCTTTTTTAAGCAGAGCAATAAAGTTATTTGCATCTCCGTCTGAAGTTCCGAAACTTAGTACTTCAAACTGAGAAAATTAAAATACAACTTCTCACTTAATCGTGTCAAACTTTCGTTCATATTGTAGAGAAGTATTACAGTAGAGCTACTGCAAAGAAGGAATGAAAGCGCAGTCTATGCGATGATCAACAAAGAAAGCCTTTAAAAACTAAAATAGGACCTCTTGTGAGTCCACGCGGGTAGGTACCATCACCCTGCCTATTTCTGCCGTGAAGCAGTAATGCGTTTCGGTTTGAAGCGTGGGGCAGCCGTTGTGACTATACTGAGACTTTAGAATTTATATCTCAAGGTGGGTGGCGCATTTACGTTGTAGGTGCTTATGGGCTCCAGTAACCACTTAACACCAGGTGGGCTGTGAGTTCGTCCACCCAACTAAGTAATAAAAAAAAATGTGTGTGTGCAAGTCACACACGGTAGAAGCGAAACTTATAAAAAATAAGAAATCGCAAGGGTCAACCACTCCGGAGTGCAATGGAGCAGCCTCTCTCTGGGGAACCGCCTGCATGATCACAGTATCCCTACGCCAGGTAAGTATGATTAAGCAAGAGAAATACAAGAACGTCTATCAACTGTGTAACACCTCGTCACCGCGATTCAGAAATTGTTGAATTTACGTGCAGTGACATCTGTTATCTATCTGTTGTGATAACAAACTAAATAGAAATAAAAGTATCTCAGAGTGCTCCGAGAGCCACGACAACGTGCACGGACCTTAAAAACACACTAAACTAGTCAGGGACGCGAGACTGTATGGAGCGCTTCGTGATTTGTGGGCGCCGCTCGGAGCCGCTTCGACAAGCCAATCGCGGCACACTTATTTTTCTTTTTCGTTACATTTCGTTTCATCGAGTTTGAAATCACAACGATTATTAAGAAGTTTCACTTCAAAAATAAAAACATTTCCGTCCGAGGAATTCGGATACTGAACGGAACTGAAACATGAACTTCAAGAATTCCAATACCCCTGTAAGTTCGAAGGGCTAAGTCTCACGAATAGCGGTGCCGTGACAAACGAGTTATTCTACGCAGTTGACCATTGCGCGGCGCGGTAGCTGGTAACTTCGAGGAGTCGATTTGTTATTGAACTCCACAGAAATATGACAAGCTGTATCGTACGCAGAGCTTTTTGTTTTACTTGCGATGTATGCACGCGAATCTGCAAAATGACTTGAACAAATCTGAATTCAATTTTCAGATATGAACTGCTAAATGCATAAGCTTGAGCTGGCACTAAATTTTTATCTTTGTTTAAATTCGATTCTTTGAAAACACATAACAGAGTTTTCAATTTTGAATTCTATATAAAAAATGGCTCGTTTAAAACCGACGAGTAAATGAACTCATCCATCTGGCGTTGAGTGGTTTTTGGAATCATTTCACAACGATAATACCGTGACCCACCTTGAGATATGAGGTCAAAGCTTCTGCTGTATTATATAACGGCTGTCCTACCTTTCAAAGTGATGTTCATCACTGCTGGAACGAAATAGCCAGTGCTACTTGCCCGCGGAGACTTATTACATCATTCCACCAGTAAGTGGGTAACCTACCTGTTAGGTACATGTACATATTTGTCATTAAAATTAAAGTAAGAACCTGTTAGTTCCTTAGTAATAGTTAAGTCCTTTAAAATATTTGTGATACTAAAACATTTATTCTCTACAGAACATTCTTAATTCCAAAGCACTTTGCCGCTGTCTGTCTGTCTTCATCAGTTGAATAAAAATAAAATAGCTTTGAATAAGCGGATCGGAAAGGTTTCCATTTTGAGGCGATTCTGCTAATTCGGGGTATTTTTTTGGTAAACCTTTTTTTAAATCTTATGCACACAATTTTTTTTTTAGGTTGGAGAGATTACTGATATCCCGAAGGCCTTTCCAGCTTCACCAGGATAGGTGGGCGAGCAAAGGCCCAGTCAGGAGGGGTGGGATTTGCTAACAGCTGCCCGAACGCCTTTAAAGAGACTTATCAATTCAAGAGCAGCTGCTTCGCGAATGAATCCATTACCGGAATGGCGACCCGCTGAGAAGACCCAGCGAAAAACTCAGCGGACTGATGCATGGGTTAAGTAGCACGTCGAACTCTGCCGAGTTCAACAAGTGTGGTTAAGCATGCAATATTATCTGGCAACGTACAACTATGGAATAATATTCAAGTCTGGTACTAAGAACAATACGTGGCTACCAGATTTCTCTTTTTCTTCATGGCAACTTTTTTGGTAGAGTGGTCCTGACCGTTTTGTGCTTAGTGACCAACTTTACAACCCAGCCCCACTCCTCCCTTTCGGTTGCGTGTCTGGTGGTTAAGTGCAGGAGGTAATTTGTTGTGGGTCTGGTCAGGCCATTCGATCTCCCCGAAGTCTTTTTTTTTCTGTAGCGTCGCCGAAGCAACAACAAGGTTCCAGCGCTTAGGAGGTGTGCGTGATATATGGGAATTGGTGGTCGAAGGTTTTAAAGATCTTCTTACTAAAAACTCCCCTAAACTCTCGCCAGAGGCCTGATACCTGCCCGAGGCAGAACCCGGACGAAGTATAAGAGATTCTACAGTCAACATCACAAACATGCAGTTCTCCCCAAGGGCGCCCAGCCAATGCCATCCTCGATCCGATAACCGATCCACCACGCTATGGCACTCATAAGCAGCCTCAGACTGTCACTGGTGTACCGAAATACGCCACTGAACCAGGATTAACCTGCCGGGTTGAAAAGCGGTAGAAAGTCAACCGATTGTTCTTCCACAGCAGTTCCGTAGAACTGTTTCCATGCAGCGCGCTAGATTGGGGGTGACACGCCGCGCAGGACGGATGGATAGGAGGGACGAGCTCTTGTTCTGCCGCCTCCTTCGGTGAGGTGGTGGACTCGCAGATTTTCTATGTTTTTGAGTCGAAACAATGTATAATAAATCCAATTTCATGGCATTTTGTAAAAATCAATATTTACTTCAGTTTTATCAGAGACTGCTATTATCCATATAAATTCATCGTAAATTAAATTTTATGTTTACAAGCACAAACAACTTTGGTTGAGCTAACTTCGGTTATTCCAATCGAGTTACATTCACTGGCACGTGACAGTTGCTAAGTGCTAAGCGCAAGGAGAATACGCTAAACTGCGAGTTAACGGGGTTAGTTAACTTGACACCGCCGTCTTGTGCACTGCGACGACTCTCGCATTCGCCTCGGGAGTTCAATCCTTAGCTTAGACATCTACTAAATTCAAAAAATGGTGAATATATTCTGGAATCGTACGTAGCAAATACCGTGAAATATTCCTATATTTTGGTATGGCGGTATTGATAATTATTGAATTAAAATTGATTTGGATCCCCTAAAGGAGTCGATGAAAATATCATAAGGTCTATGTGCTCGTTCCAAAATATGACATTATCATTTAACATGAACGATTTAAACAAACATTTTTTTTACTGGTGGACCTCTTGTGAGTCCGCGCTGGTAGGTACCACCACCCTGCTTATTTCTGCCGTGAAGCAGTAATGCGTTTCGGTCTGAAGGGTAGGGCAGCCGTTGTAACTATACTGAGATCTTAGAACTTATATCTCGAGGTGGGTGGCGCATTTACGTTGTGATATCTATGGGCTCCAGTAACCACTTAACACCAGGTGGGCTGTGAGCTCGTCCACCCATCTAAGCAATAAAAAAATAAAAAAATAAAGTCGATTAAAGGTATTTTTAAACAAAGCATCCGACTGATCTTGTTATCGTGAATTCGTTATGTGAATACGTTATTATTAGAATTTCCATAATACAATCAAAACTAGAATAGTACTTATGGATTGTGTCATCTAACCATTCGGATACAAACATTTTGGAAGAACAATGATGAAGATCCCTTTTCTTTCAGAGTCTTCAATATCCAACAGCACTGTGCCTTAAAATATTCGTGCGAGAGACAAATTTCGTATAAATCGAAGCTATTTCCATGATATCTAGAAGCATTTACTGACTCCCTTGAGTTACGAATTCGGTCTCTGTACGATCCTCGGGGAATCCATTCATCAAAGGTATATTTAAAGCTGTATGAAATATTAGTGAGCTGACTTATCCTAGATTAAGTGAAGTATTAAGTCAGCATACTTATTCAGGCTTAAATAGAATGAGCATCTCGTTTGATCATGATATCTTACGTAGGTAACGTAACATAAATTATATTCATTTTGCAAAAAAAACTCACTCGTTATTTTTCACGTTCAATATTATTCAATATTAATCATTAAGCACTTTCATTAATTCACATTATGAACAATATTTCTCACAGGATAAAAGGAGGCACCTTATTAAAAAAATTCCATTAGCTTAGGCCTTTTCAGATTCTTCGACGATCTGAGAATTCCTAGGCTTAATCTCCTGGAGAGTCAAATGGAATCTCTGCCTCGTGAGCGACCGGCTGTTATCAGCCACATTTGTGACCAATGACCTGAGCTCATAGGTTCCGCTCAAAGATACAGCAGCTCCACGGAAACCAATCGCACAGCTGGTGAAGGGTTGAACTGCTTCCAGGAAGAATATATTACCGGCAGGCAAATTGTTGTTAGGGAAAGCTTCGTACATTACACGGTTAGGGAATATGACATGGCACGATACCAAAGTGTCCAAGAAGGACTTGGGGATGGACAAGGATTTTCCGATGAGGTCATTTGTTAAAAAATTAAAGGATATGTCTGGTAGGGTGATCTCTGTTACGGCCGAAGCTGAAAGAGAAAAAAAAACGATTGAAATAAGAATGATATAAATGGTCGTGATATTCGTGAATTGATTCAGCATTAAAAATAATACATACTAGTATATTTGAAAAACGTTTGCAAATTTGATTTCAGTATCAAACGAAATATTACTGAAAGTAACTTTTTCACCTTAAACAAATTCAAGGAAATGAACAAACGTTAAAAATTCCTTATTGACAGGTAATATTACTTTTCTCTTTACAAATACCAAAAATAATGGAGTAAATCAAAAATTTCTTTACCTTGAGCAATAGCCGCTGCAAGAGCAAACAAATACAAGAATTTGGCCATTTCTATAGGAATTATTCGAAAATGACCGCTAACTAATTTGTGCGATATCTTTTATAATTTTCCTTATATTGATAATGTAACCAGATTTTTATCACTACTAATCAGTTTATACTGTAACAAGTGTAGACGCGTTCTTTCCGTAATTAATGTGAATTTTTCACGTAAACGGCGAAAGAATTCTTGAGCATCGGTATAATATTTTTAAACAATGCTTCTTTTGAGACTATAATTTTCAAAGATCGTTGGGTTGATGAATAAAATAAAATGCTAAGCTATGTCCACTTTTAGGATATCTGTAGGAAATAGAATTAGGTATTAATACCAATTAGGTATTAATCGCACTTATAGATATAGATGATAAAGTTTGTTTAAAAAACTGGTAATCTTTTAATTATACAACACAGATTGATTTTGTCTTATCATTTAAAAAATAAATAAAAAATTAAAATCAAAGCATGCACTAATAAGATAATACAGAGCTTATATTATATTTATAAATATCATTATCTACGTTCTAACAATATTATATTTCTACGTATTTATGAAAATCCTAAGATGACAAAAATTAAATGTTCGTGTCATAAAATTTGGTAATTCCAAATCTTAGCTCATTTGACATAAAGTGCAAAATAACTTGATATTCGTACTGAAGGACCAATAGATGGTGAAACTATATGTCCTGTATATATCCTATACAGTAACAGTACTAGAAATCTGCAGTAAGTCTGACTACTCATTCTTCGGTAAGTTCCTTAGTGCATTTTACGACACCCAAGTGAAGAGGTGGTCTTTTAAGTACCAGGCCTAACAAAACTAAGCCCTTAGATCAACAGATTTCTCGGTCAGAGCCATGCAGAGCAACTGAAGCCGCATATATCAAAAACTTTAGAAGCAGAAATGAATGAATGAAAGATACTTATAGCCAGCATTGGCTAAGTCAAGGTTAAATAAGACGTCATCGAATAATGACGTCACACTATCAAAAAGTCAAAAAGTTCAGGGCAACCCACATTCAATATACGTATAACACCAAAGACAAAGACATTATCTTTGCATAGCTTAATCAAGCCGCCACACTGGCGTGTCATTATAGATTGCATGATAAACCTAATCTAAGATTTTATCGGCTCTACGTGACTGATAATAGATTAATATCGCTCTCATAAAAACTTATTACATCGCGACGGCTCATAGATTCAAACTGTCTGCTATATCAGATTTCATTGCTATATCACATTACATTCATTCAGTTTCATGAAATATTAAATTACTGAAACCATGAATGCTTTCTTTGTGATTTCCTTCTAAGACAGACGGAATGTGATCAGTCATCGCCTTCGCTAATGAGAATTAGTCATACTAGGTGCCCAACCACTTTGTACTCACCTCCAGCCTCGTTTAGAGAAGTAAATGACATAGCGCTCTAAAAATACTGTGGAGGGGAGTTCATTATAGAGCTGGATAGTACATTTTTTTTATTGCCTTTTTAGATAGACGAGCATACGGTCCAGCTTATGGTGAGTGGTTGCCGCCTCTCATGGACTTCAGCAATACCAATGCTGAGCCAAGCAGCTGCCTTCTGTTTAATTCTCTCAACAAGCCTCGTTTGAAGAGCGTTACGTAACGTTACGTAGGAGAATATTATATTTCGCTTAGTTATTTTTACTATCCCAGTTTCATTCTTCGGGAGCGACACTTTAGATTCTGTGTAGCAGGAAATTAATCAAGACCCTATATGAATCCTTACATAATACAGCTCAAAATCAACTGCAAACTTTATTAGCCTATTATCATCGATCGATTCGATGTAATCAATCTCGCAAATAATGCGGTACGTCACAAAATCGTTCTCGTTTCGAATCATGATACAATAAAGTATACGGGCAATCATAGGCTGCGGCCAGTAACGGTCGATTGGGCGAGCCAATACATACATAGTAAATTTTTTTAGAAGGCGCACTCTTTTTTGCGAAATTTTCTTTTAAGAAAGTTTTTGTACGAGTTTTAAGAATTACGATTTTATCCAAACCCGATTATGTTGGTATAAATTCACGATCGTAAAGTATTTGTAATGAATACCGATCATACCTTTCTATGTTTTTCGCCGAATGATAATGAAATATATAAATATTCTTTGGTATAACTTAAAACAGTACTAGGTCTTATCTAAACCTATCTTCAATATGCCAGAAAACTTTACTTAAATGCCAATAACAATTATAAAATTTCATAGTTGTATGTCTACAAATCTAAATATTCTTAAACATAGCTTTTGTATCTATGTATGGATTCTTCACAGAATGATTTGCTGTGAGTATACCAAATTTCGAGTTAATCCGACGTTTTGAAGGGGGTCAAAATCATGTTCAAAGATTCCGTTACGTATTAACATACAAACGTCTGAAGCAAATAAAAGCGTATTAATTAAATAGATTAGGTAATATATCTTGGAAGATGATGCTCGACTTCTGCGAGTGCACCATCTCGCAGAAGGAGGCGCCGCCGTCAATCGGGGATCAGGGAGACGAATCTCGCCCAAACTCTGGCCCTCTAAGTGTTTCGGGTCCCCTTCAAATGTCAGTCTGGGGACCGGCAAAGGGAGCCCAAGAAGACGACATGCAAACTGCTCTGCACGCGTTTTACGCAAGAGCATCCGGGTGATGTAAGGCCAGCTCACTTTCCCCTCTTTGCCTTTTCATGGTTTCTGTCTCATGCGAGGTTCGGACGCGGGTTGTTGAGTGACAGGAGGTTTTAGTCAGTTCGACTCTGACATGCCCCGCCCTCCATTCCCAGGGGAGGGCGGAAGTCCGGCGATTTCCTCCTGACCAAAAAAAAAAGGTAATATATCTTCATACCTTCTCTATAGTTTTATTTGTGGCCCTGTGATTGTCAGACCGCGAAACCGCTGGTGATCAAATTAAAAGCTTATGGGGCGCCGTTACGGTGGAAAATAAAAATTAATCGAATGGGATCTTTCAGCTGCTTTGTGATGCGAAACACAAACTGTTAACAGAGGTCTCGACGTAAACAAGGTTCTATTATGTTATTACGATATTTTTACGTATGGTAGGGATATATCATTAGCTGACATGGGTAGTGGAATCAGTTGATATAATTTTTACATGAATCAACTCTAACATGTCGGTTTCAAAGGTGAAATAATTCAAGAATAAAATTGCGACTCATATGTATCGGCCTTATCTTTTGTTGTGCGTAAAGTTTCACTTTGCAAAATTTCTGCGCTCCAATGATCATTTAAAACTTGGTTAGCCGCGAGTTAGTCAGCGTATCTAGTTCTAGACCAACAATCACAAAAGATATAAAGATGTTCTTTTTTTTTATCGCATCCCAATAGAATGCAACGTTGCAGTTGTGAATTTATAGTATTTGTTGTTGTTGTTTACTTTGGGAACCATTCGTCTTGTATTCTTTTAGTCGAACGATCGTTTATATTACTTTAAGAATAGGCAACCGGGCACAAATAACAAAACAAACTAAGAAGTATAGGGCAACTTAAGTAGATTGAAACGATTGTTCAATCACTACGCTTTGTGTTTTGATTGCCGAAATGAGATGTAATATTTCTTTTGTTTTTCTTTATGACAAACTAAACACATGATTTAAAAGATGGCTAATGGTTGTATCTATGAAATGTGATTTGTTTGTCGTTAAACTTCACCACAAATGACGTCACATTTAAAAGTTGCTTTGCGCAGACACGAGCCAGCAGTCAATACAGAGGTTTGGTCATTCCTATTGGGAAGCAATAATGTTAGGAGCATAGCTAAGCTGTATATCGCAATAGACTATTTTAAAACCTTGAACTACAGCGCTCGGGAAATACTGTAGAGACGATTTCATTCTAGAGAAGCATTGTACGTAATACGATCTCTTGTAACGCACTCGGAAGAAAGGCACTGCATCTAAGTAACAAAGCAGTGCTCCACTTCAAAAGCAAATGATACGATAATAAAAGCATGGCATCATCATCATCATGAATGGCATCATCTCGAATATACTGAAAATACCTGGGATCACGTCTGGCGCAACATACGATACAAAACACATTGAGAACCAATATAATCCAGAGGGAGGCTGAGTCTACACAGATCTTATCTTCAAGGGCAATACAGTTATCCAATAGCCACTAATTTCTCATCCTATGTAAGGTCCAATTACATACTGAATGTATGGAATATTCTTGTATTTAGAATAATTTGTCTATACTGTTTTGAATACTGGTACATTTTGTTTTTGTTCTAGTATTAGTATGGTTAATCGATTAACTTGTTTATAAAACTCCCTTATTATCTTCGTGTGTATGTTTGTTAGTGTGTAACGGAATCTTTGAACGCAGTTTTCACTGACTTCAAGAAATACGATTAACTTAAAAATTTAGACATGCATTAAGGACCGATGACAATACAATAATTTTATAGCTTCGCACTAATTAATATCAGTGTCAATTAATTGTTTTTTTCGATTTGCGGTTTAAGCCACATAATATGTTGTTCAAGATCTTCACAGCGTGAAAAGAAACGCATATCCCCATTTTTTTTATATTATCTGTGCATTTTTCATTCCATCACGACTTTTGGCGCCTTTTTTATAAATTTTCTAATAGTTTATCTAATTAAAAGAATATCGCATTTTTTTACACAAAACCGCTTTATTATTTGTCCCGAGTATGGACATATATTATATTAAAGAAGAATATCATGACTTATAGCTCTTGAACATATCACTGAAAATGTCACTCTCGTTACGCGGATTGGTTGAAAAAAAAAATTCAAAGGAAATAACAGTGATTTGTATTTCATTTTCCTATGAATCCCTGCTGTTACGGTTTCTGGGTAAAAAGCAAAGAGAGGGAAACTATCGACTCAACATTCTGTCTCAACTAAACAACTTGGATCCCGAGTGCTCAATTTAAGGCGAAGTATACTCGTTACGAGTACATAAGTTTGTTTCGTTGGCAAAAATAAAAATCGTTGGCAAGC